CCTGGGTCTGACAGGTCGGGATTTTTCAAAATCTTACAGAAAATCTTCTATTTTAAGAGCATGGTAAACTTTCACACAAGAAGCAGAGAAACTGAATGGATAAATATGAATCAGTGGTCTTGAAAAATTATAAGATGGTGATACTGTTCTGACAGATTTACTTTGCTGTGGAAATGTGGCAGGAAAAAAACAACAACAAAATGTAACCTCAGCAACTGCAAAAGATTTTGTTTAAAACAAGTGACAAGTCACTGATGTCCTTTTTAATGAGATTTGTTTTCCTCCATACTCTAGTGCATCCTTGGTATATCAGGCATCATGTTCCCTCTTGTTCCCTTGCTTTTGCTTCCTAACAACTCAGCTATTGTTTTTTTGTTTGATAGTCTGATCACATAAATTAGCCCAGAAAGTCTTGTTTTCCCATAACTCATAGTTCTGATGGAGCATTTAGACCTCCAGCTTGTTTATTTCTCCATACTTTTTTGCCCTTGTGCCCAGTATTGATGACATTTTCTTTTATGCCTTTGTTTATAAATCTGTCTGTGGGCTTTAACTGAACTCTTCTCAGTCCCAGTTTGGAAACCTCATCCCACTATTAGCAAGTCTGTGTGCAGACACTCTTCCTGTTTTCTCTGAGATGTATTCTGTCCTTGCCCAACAGCCATGGTTAAAGCTCTTCTGATGGCACTGTGTGAACAACTTTCCACTTTCCTTCTGGCTCCATCCATTCTTGCCAGAGTTGGGGTCCCCACCATCTTGTCTGCCAGCCCCAGCTACGGTCTTGATGAGAGGACCAGTTCTCCCTATTGCATACGGAATTTGAAGGTCATCCTGCTCAGCTGTAGTACTTCTAAACCTCTTTCTTTCATTGGAGGCATAGTGCAGCAGATATGGAGAAGCAGTCTGCTACAGGAACTCAGCAAATTTCATGGGCCCCACTTGAGTAACAGACCAGACTAGATGGAAGGAAAAGAATATATGTTTAAAAAACGTTATTAAAGTCTCGTCCTTTCTAAAGCAGCTTTGTTAGAGCAACGGTGAGGTCTCATTATAACTTTCCATACACTCTCCATATCTGAGGTACAGACATGCTTGCTATCTGTGCAGAGAGGTGCTCAGTGAGGTCCTTTCCCCACCAATTTGGTGCTTCTGCAGGCATTCTGAAGGCCTTTCAACCTGGCATAGGCATGAGTGTTCTTTGTTTGTTTGGAGTGACATTCTGCAAACAGCCATTCTCCATTTGCCTTTTTGAGTATTTTAGGAATAACATCACATGTTAGGACTTGTCCCATAAACAGTTCTGCATGGAAAACTCTAGAAAAATAGGAGATTCAGAATTTAGAACAACGGCTTCCAAAAGCAGATACTAAGTTGCCTGTGGACATTCAGGTGTCAAAAAAAAAAAAAGAAAGAATATTCAGTAATAAAGTTGAAGAAAATTGGTCACATGACAAGAATTAAGAAAATGACCGGTAAATGTCATCTTCTCTAATAAATTTTAATTCCCCAGAATTGCATTTATCTTATGTATTGACACATTGCGGTTCGTATACATATCCAGAGAAGTGTGTCATTCGGTGCTCTGGCAGCTTGTAATAAATCCTTCTCTTTGGAAAAAGGACAGATTTGTTTTTGTTTATTGTTGATATGCCCTTGTTATCTCGGGCATAGCTGCCACTGAATTCTATCAACATATCTTTCTTCTGCTTGTAGAACTTCTGTAGTTTATTTTATTTTTTCCAGTGTCAGCTGGATATTCCAACTTTCTTATGGCTGTAAAACTTGGTCATGCCTTTTGGAGTAGCAGGTGTTTTGGCACCTGTTATGTTGTGCTGTATTGGAGGGCCAGATGAAATATCCCATTGAAAATGGTTGAAGTAGTTGTTTCTGTGGGTGTAAATTTATTACGTGCATCCTGTGTAAGGCTGGAATTGAAGAGTTCTGAAATCATATAGCTTAATAAAAGGATGACAGGTTTTATTTTGTGGAATATAGATGGTGTTTCCCATGAGCCATTTTAAACTCAACTGATGTCATAAATACAAAGAGCTAGACTTAAGGACATTTTTCTGGTGACCTCTCCTAGCACTGCTAAGCTTTTCCCAAGAGTTCACCATTTAAGAGGTTATATCAGAGCGGAGATTTTTTAAAAGTGCTCTGAAGGTAACCATCCTTCTAAGCCTGTGGGTTTTGTCTATTAATATGTCATTTGAGCTATTGTCAATCTTGATCAGCACAAATAAATCACTGCATCTTTCTGGCTCCATCTCATCTTTAGGATTTTGGAACGCTATGTCCAAGATCAGATTCCCAGTGCAACAGTTGTGGTGGAATCCATTGGTGCTCGAAGGTTTGGGGATGGATACTCTGAAGAGGATTACACCAAGTCTGACCTCATGGTCTACGCAATCGACCCACAAACAAATAGAGCTATAATGAGGAATGAACTTTTTAAGTAAGTATATTACTTGTTGCTCTTCTTACATTTCTATGGAGTATTTTGAAGCCTGTTGGTCTGTGTCTGCTAGCAAGTGATTCAACGCAACAGGAACAGAAAAATCTGTTGAAGTGGTTGGTGCACGCCCCTGCACCTACCCTATGTGCAGCGTGGGAGTTTACAGATTTACTAGGTTCAGTCCATTCACTTGAGCTGAACAGCCCTGGTACACGTGATTTAAACGTTGTCACCATGAGAGCTTGCAGTACATTTGGTCCACACTGTGGAGGATCTTCCAGTTTAAAATCCTCTGAAAAAATTTACTTAGCATGTACTAAAAATGTCTCTGTGATTGCCAAGCAAGGGCTTTGGTACTCCCATCATTGACCTGCAGGCTTTCTGCAGCTTCCATTTGGAGCACATGTCTTTCTCTTTTCTTTTTTGTGGAAACCAAAGGAGAAGAAGAAAGAGAAGGGGAAGGAAGAGAGGTCGTGTGCACCTAGTCTGAAGCATAGACATCAGGGCATGACCCAGGTGTACATGTGCATGCAGGAAATCAGTAGTGCTCACAGGTGCCCAGTGGGCTGAGCAGACAGATCTGCGTGGCCCCATCCCACCAACTGCCAGAGGAGATGGTGAACAGCAGTAGACAGGCCACTTAAATTCATGATTTGATGTTGTTTTTCTTCTTCAATCAACTTCCAAATTAGCAGTTATATTCCAGTGTCACATAAAACATAAGAGATGGCTTTTTATTGACTGATTATACTCACAGCATGTTGCCAGTGAATGGGCCAGCTCTGGTCACAGTAACAGAGCGGTTTGGTAGGGTGCCAGTCTGCCTGGGCTTTTGCACCTTAGCAGAGCTCTTGTGGGATATCAGTCTGGCACACTACTGCTTCGGGGGCCAGCGGTAACTCCAGTCTCCGCCTGCATAAGAAGAGAAGCCAGAGATTACATGGGTAAGGAAATGAAATTAAGGTAATCTCTTTACATGTTTTTTCTGAGGCATCACTAGCGGCCAGTAGGTTCTAAGACAAAATTAGTATCTCAACCCATTCAGCTGCCAATGTATCAATATGGCAGTAGAATAATTTTGTTAGAAACTATATTTTTGTGCCTTGGCATTCTGCATATGGTTCAAAACAATGAAAATGCAAATTAGGATCTTCTTCTGAAGCAGCCACTATCTTTTGGCGATTTTTTTGCATGTGTTTCACCTTTGTGTTGCTTTTTATCTCAGTGGAAACTAGACCAGACTGTTCCATGATGGTATAAAGCACCACGTCAGTCAGCAGCCCAAAAAGCAAATGGCTGTGAGCCTTCTCGGTGGACTGTGATTGAAAAAGGGCTTGTTCTCCTGAGCTTTTAATTTAGTACAGATGAATTACAGCATACTAAAGCTCTGCATATAATCACAGTTTATAGGTTGGAAAAGATGACTGTGATCAGTCTGACCTAGTATAACAAAGACCACAGGAACTCCCAAATTTAATTCTGTTTTGAACATGTCTCTCAGCAAAGCAACTGCTCAAGAAAATCCAGTCAACTAAACCCTTTGTGCTGTTATTGCAGGGTAATTATTTTTACTGTGAAAAATTAGACCTTTTTTCTTTATTTTTTAATTTGTCTGCATTCAGTCATACCATTTTATTGTAACTTCCAGTGCTAGATTGAAGAATCCAATTGGTGCCTTTAATATCTGGTTCCCACCAAGGTCTAGGCATATGATCACATCATCCTCTTATTTTTCTTTCTTGAGAAGTTCCTTGACCTCTGCACTCTGGGCTATATTTTAATTCTTTTAATCACTTACAATTTTCTCTAAACCCTCTCCAGTCCTGCAGAATTAGTTTCTGAACTAGGATTATAAAAATCAGATGCAGTTTAGCAGTGGTAGCTTTCAGAGTGGTGGCAATACAGCCTCCTTCCTTCTGCTGGCCATTTTTTGTTTGTAGGTATCTCCATGGTCATACAGCCTTTATAGGTCTCAGTGATGCACTGGGAGTTTGTGTTGACTTGTCCACTGCCAGAGCTGCTGATTGTGTACTGAATGGGGTCTCTGTGATTTTGTTCCCAATTTTATTCAAGAGAGGAAGTGGAAATTAAGGAAACCTGGCAGGAAGTCAGCAGAAATCCCTGATAGATAACCATTTTCCTTTCTCTCTAAGGAAAAGTGCCAGTAGATCTGCTTGCAGTCATCCTGTAAGTCACTGTTGTACCCCAACCCACTCCCAAAACTAGTCTCAATAAATGTATCTTACTGCCATACAGCCAGAATGTTTACTGATCCCTCTTTATCATTGCTTTGCCACTTTTACAGTTTGTGAATTCACTGAGGTCTGTGTTTTCTTCCAGTCATAGCCAGTTTAGAGTATGGCCAAAGGGAGATCTATTAGAAACGCTCAGGGTCAAAAGGACATTATTCAGTGCTGTCCAGGTTCAGAAAATTTATATGACCTTGATGACAGTTGAAAATTCTGACACCTTCTACTCCTCATGTGGAAAGCTCTCTGTAAATCTACTATTATTAGCACATGAAAGTGAGCTAGTACTTGTGCATGGAGGCAGTTAGCTCTTTCAACTCCATAAAAAGAATCATCTTCTGATGTAGACTTTCTTCATGGTCAGAAAATGTGTCCAACTTCATTTTGGTGCCCTTTGAAAATATAGGAATGTCTTTTTAGGGATGTTTGCATATCCAGTGAAATACACAGAACAGAATAGAGTTAAGATAGGTTAAAAAGCAGTTTTTTAAACATGAAGGGAAGGTTATTCACTTGCCTGGTCTGCAAATGTACGGGATATCAGCTCAGAAGCAACCTCATTAAAATGCTTCATGTGCCTGCATACTCAGCTTTTCTTTTTTTTTTTTTCCCCCCTCCCTCTTTTCTCTCTTCAAAAGCTTTTAACTATTTAAATCAGCAAAATCCAAGGCAATGCTTTCCTGGCTTTAGGGTACAGGTGAGCAAGTGTCAGCTTACTAAAGTAAGGAGAAAAATGTAGTGAGAGTTTTGTAGCTGGACTTATGATGTTAACAAGTTTTCGCTAGCAAGTGGGTGAACCTCAAGAGATTTGGCTCAGCTCAGGTCCTTACCCAAATCCAAAAAGAAATTCCTTCTCTGAACTTCTTTCCTGGAGTTTGGATCTCTAGAGGGATGGCTCAATGTTCTTCCTACTCCAGTCACAGGACACAGTAGCCATGGTTGTCCCCTCATTGGGAAGAGATGGCCAAGAGTCACAGCCATCATTCTGGCAGACAGGAATCTGCTCTGGATCCTACCTGAAAAGCGATCAGTAGGAGAAAGGATCATTTAATAAACTGGATATGATGGGGAGAAAGGTTAGAAACTCAGAAACAAACGGAGCCCCCTTTTTTAAAAGCTTAATTAGCAATAATGAATATAGATTTAGCCAAGTTATTTTCCAAGTGTTCAAAAATTTCATTATGTATACAGAAGAGTGAACCGTACCAACAGCACAGATTTAGCACATGAATTCTACTAGTTGTGATTTTAGCACAAATTACAAAATATTATGTATTGGAAGATACCTGTGGCTTTTCTTAAATGGGCTTTTGGGGAACACCATCTGTGTTTCTTCTTGTAAAACACAGTGGAGGCCCTGACTTTAATAGAGTTTGTGTTAAGCATGTCACTGTTTTAAAACAACTATCTGTGAATGTTTTTTAAGGAATTTGGGGGGTAAGTTGAGGACAGAGTGGAGCAAAGCGGCCTGTTCCCCTTCGCAGGTGGCATGCTGCTTCGGTAAAGGCAGATGGAGATCACTGGTGCTGGCAGCAGGCACAAGTCAGGGCAGTGTTGGGGTCCCGGAGGTGCTTGGCTTTACACTGAAGCAGGGTGGAAAGGATGGTCAAGGCAGTTAATGCCCGTCAGCAGCTGAGTAAAGCCACAATCATGACCAGTTACAAAGTTGTATTTCTACAAGAAGTAAACCCCACTAAACAAAAGCTAATGTCTGAGGCTCCCATAATCACCCCTCGGAAATGGCACTCCAATACATCAGTTCATGTCCAACAGTCGTTTATGAAATCAAGAGATACAAGGAAATTCAGTGTGCTCTGGATGTGCTGGATTAATGCAGATGTGCATGACAGAGCAGGCACATACTGTGCCAGACTCACGACCAGGCTATTTTGAATGGGTTGCTTCACATCCAGCAGTACCAAATGAGTAGCCTAATCCCACATATTTGCATTCAAGCAAAATGATTGGCAGGAAAACCCACGTGTGTCTCAAGATACGCTGATTTTTCTCTATCCTGTGCTTTGTAAGACTGGTACACAATGAGAGATTCATACTTTTCTTTAGCACTGTTATGACTGATTACTTGACATTTTTATTAATCAGGAATCTGTCTGGTTACACTGAAAAATGCATCTAAATAGTAACTGTGCTTTGTTATTACCTTCCTCTGCCACAAACTCTTAAAAGACTTTGAGGCTACTTAGATAATTTTACAGAGTGAAATGATCAGCCTCCTTTTTTATCTTTTATATCAAAGAGGGTTTGATTTATTGGAGCATAAAAACCAGTTGAATCCAGAAAATTTCTCCTGCATCTATAAAGTGTAAAATGTCCACCATTAAAAATAAAATGCTTACCCTGTCTAAATCTTTTACACGATGTGTCATGTTTCATCATGGAGCAAATGTGCATGGTTGAGTTACGAACCTGTTAAAATAGGGTTTGTCAAGAAAATGCTAACAGAATTTTAACTGAGAGATTGTTAAAATCGTCCAGAGATTTAATGCTGGCCGACCTGAATGCTTTTGCCAGCTCAGAGGACATGTAACATGCACCAGTGACATCTAGTGTACAACAGAAGAGTTAGAGCTCCGTTCATACTCCCTATATGTCTTGTGAATCATCATTGCACGTCTTTAAGATGTGAAAAGGGATTTTTGCTCAAATACCAAGAAAATGTTTTGAGGAAGAAGTCAAGGAATTAGTTGTGAATATCAGCAGACCATACTAATACAAAGGGAAATTATTCTTCAAAACACCCTGGGTTGCATTTTGCCAGTGTGGGTCTGTGAGTGAGCAGCCACTGCTGCTCTGAAGTTAGCATCACAAAACCAGCACCATTTCATCATTCAGGATGAATTCTCTGCATGTTATGAGATCCAACTAATATGTTACACACATAGATCAGAGTGCATTCTCCCCAAAGTTAAATAAAAAACCAACCAGGGACAATCAATGCTATGAGAGTTTATGAGTAAATTGAGATTAAATCATTTGTCATTCCAAAATATGAACACCCTTTTCAAAAGTGGTCATTTAGAAGTGTAATTTCTATCTCATGATGAGACAAAGGAAAAAAAAGCTATTTCAGACTTTTTTTAGACATCTGGATTTTATACGCAGAAGTCCTTTCAGAATATTTTTTAGCTGGTTTTTTTGTACATTTTTTTTTTTTATCTCAGCATTTTTCACTTGTCTGACTTTCTCCGGGAGAAACCCTGTACATGTAAGGGTCTGAGGTTCTGCTATAGCTAATAGCCAGCAGGATCCTCCTCTGTCCTGATGGGTGCCTCCTACTTTGATCTTTCTAGCTGGAGCCTACTGCTTGATATCTTGTGAGACAGTCAATCCTCACTTCAGAAATGATCCAAGAATTTTTATTTTCCTTTGGAAATGAAAGCCTTGGCCAAAATATTTTTTCAAAATTCTAAAGTGAGTTTCTGTAACAAACATAGTGTTTACTATTCAAAAGTCATCCAACAGAAAATTTTAAGTCATATGGGAAATGAGTTCATTTGATTAGGATTTACATTTGGCTACCTGTCTTCAAGCTGACAGTTATCAGATCAGATACTGAACTTCTTCCACTACATTTGCTCTTTCAGAGACTGTTCCAGTCCTTTGCTTGGTAACTACGCTGTTACAAGTTCCTCTTGTAGGTGATGCACAAACGAAGATGGACATTATTATAAGTTGCAAGTAGTGACAGCAGCACGTGCTTCTGGGTTTGCTAACAATGTAGTGTTGCCTAAGACCTAACTCTGTCTTACTGGTGTGCCTTGTAGGCCTACTTGAAGCCAGTGTTTTTTCTGATAGCTGTAGAGATAGCCTGTTGTTCCTGTAATTAGTAATATTAGTCAAGATTTTTCTGGTATCTGGCAGTGTTTGGAGAACGCCTGAAGATTAAATTACAGTTTTTTACAAGCAATTAGTGATTTTCCTTTTAGAAGAGGTGTGAAACTCCAGAAGAAGTGGCCTGCATCATCTCAAAAGAAGAAAAAGAGGAGGCAGTTTACAGGAATCTCTGTCTGTCATCTTTTGTGACCTCTCATTTGACTTTTAAGGAAACGAGTACAGATGATGCAGTATTTTCTAAAATGTTATTGTTTTCCTTGTTCCAATTCTCCTGCATCTCTCACGAATGTTGCTACAGATTCCACTCAAAAATTGCTGTGATGGAGGGGATGCTGTCAGATAGCCAGAAGCCAGTGAATAAACTCCCTCAGCACTGTGCCAAACATTAAGCTTCAGCTAACCTCTCCTTTTCAGTGTTTAAACACTATTATTAAGTGGTATTAAGTACGTCGGAGTTATCGCTGACATAGGGATTACAGAGAATTACTAATATTCTTAAGCACATAAAGAAGAGGTATGTGCTTTATCAGACCACAGTTATTAACCCAACTATGCAGTAATTCAAACACTGTTAATGAACTTGGCTGTAATAGTTTTCTTTTGTGATGTTGAAGGTTCCTGGATGGCAAACTGCTGGATATCAATAAAGAGTTTCAGCCGTACCTGGGGCAGGGGGGGCGCATTCTGGAGATCCGCACCCCAGACGTGGTAGCGAATGTCAAGAAGCAGGCACAAGCAGTAGGCTACACGGAAGGCGCGTTACTTGCTCTGGCCGTCATAATCATCCTTTGCTGTATGCCAGCTATTTTAATAGTTATGGTCAGCTACAGACAGTAAGTACTCCTCCTTTTTGTAGTAGGGATGCTACATTTCTTAGGAGAGCTGATTTGAAAATTATCCTTCATTGCAATGAAATTATGTACAGTATCTATGGAAAAAAATTTAATTTCCCTCTTACCACAAGAGTTGGTCAATGTGCATGAAAAGAGAAAACGCACAGGAAGTGCACCTTGCTATACTTTCTGAAGTTGTGGTGCAGTAAGGGTTTTAGAGTATGTGCTGAAACAGAAGGTGCTGTTTCAATGAATGAACCACAAATCAAATTGTGTAGCTCAGGCAAAATAAGAGGACTCAAATTTTTGTTTAATTTCTAAAATACTCACAGTTATATTTTTTCCCTACCTGTATGCTTCTTAAATGCAAATGTTCATGGCGAATTGATTTTGTGCCATTTTAGCGCTACCTAAAGCAGCATACACCAGAGAGGACCTTCCTGATATTTCCACTCACCTCTTGTAGACTTGAGAGGTTTAAATAATTGGGCTTATAGACTAGTTAAAGGATCAACGTCACTAGCACTTTCCTCTTAACTAAGCCTTTTCAGTTCCATTCATATTTAAAATCAATGCATTTGGACTTAAAGGCTGTATATTTATTATTTAATTTATTCTCATGAAAGATTTCTAATTCCACGTGCATGCTCTGAGCACTCATAGAATTACCAATCACTACAAAATCAAAATATAAATAAGTCTGTGCATCTTTTCTAGTAAATGACTGTATTCAACTTCTGTATGTATTGGTCTGTACCTCCATATCTTTCCATCTTAATTTGAAAATTGGTGAACTATCTGAAATGTAATATGCCCTCATCATGGAAAACCTCTGCTCCGCAGGACCATGTAGGAAGGAGTTCCCAGAACCCTGCTGGTTTTTTTGTTTGTTTGTTTTTTCATTTTTGTTTGCTTTGTTTCTACAAAAAATGCTTTGATGCATGCTCCCTTCATTGTGTTGAGGGCAATGAAGTGTCAGTGCCTCTGCAGACCGCTGCTGCAGCATTGCACCAGTCTGTGGGAAGAGAGGGCATGGAAGAGCTGATATACATGTGTTACAGTAAAGCAACTACAGTCTGAATGCTGCAATAGATGTAATGGGCTACAATACGCCAGGTGAGATTGAAGCTGTGCATTTTTCCTTTCTGCACTGCAGTTAGGAGTTAGCAAAGTGCGATGTTAGGCATCATTTAAAAAGCGTATCCTACATGAAAAAATCGCAGCCTGTCTGAGAGTACCTTCCTTAGTGACACCAGAAACACAGCCAAGGAAAGACATTTCTTGATGGTTATTGCATGTTCTCTGGGTTGCATTTGACATCCCAGATTCTCCAAACAATTTGGGTCAAAGGAAAAATTCCTTTTAAAGGAGTTTGAAAGAGCTTGACAAACTTCTGTGCCATTGGGATGGAAGTGCATCTCAATGCTGGTTTACTTCTCCCAAAATTGTGTGTAAAATTTGTTTCCAGTGAAACACTACTGAATCAATTCAACCTACAATTAGGTGGTGGTGGTTGTTATCTGAATTGCACTATTTTTCCTTGACATCCGTTCGATTCTTGAAAGATTATCAGTCTCTTTTAAGAGCTTTAAGGAATCTGCCTAACTTCATTTCATCAAAAATACCACATTTTTAATGCCTAGAAGTGTGACTTGTGGTTGGATTTCTAGCAGAACAATGTGAATAAACTATACTTTTAAGAAAAATGTATGATTGAAGAGTGCCAAAGAAAATAAAAGGAATTTTAGTGTTAATGTAAACACCAAAAGGTGTCCTGAGAATTATGGTTTGTTTTTGCATTGCAACTTTTCTTCTCGTTTTCAAAAGGAGTTTCGGTATTTTTCCTGATATTCTGACAAAGTAGGTGCTCCAATCTGCCACTGAGTGTAGAGATTACAGCGGAATAAATGTAACTCATACTCACAGCACATATAATGAAAATGTTAAGATTTTCTAACAGTTAAAACTTTTTATGTGCAGTAGGTCCACTTTTCAGTGCTTAGCTTTTCAGTGATCAGCTTACTAAATTTTGTAAAAATAATAGTTACTGAAAAGAAAACTCATTTAAATTGGAAAATTAACACTGTCAAAGTGCAGCTCAGTGCCTACATTTATGACTTGTAAACAAGCCAGAAACTATCCTTATTCTTTTCTATTAAATACTGTCTTTGAAATACTCTATCCAGTACAACCCCATAATGTAACTATAAATAATGTATTATTTACTAATCACAGAAGACTGATATCTTCTTAATAGCAACCAAAAGTAATACTCCTTCACTATTGAAGATGTTTTCTATAGCATGCTTGAAACATGTTAAAAAGAGAAAAGAGTTATAAAAATGCATCCCTGGTAGTCCACCTGTTAAAGAAATATCATGAGGTATATTCATGTTTTCATGTCTTGCACTTTTTGGGTGGGGGGAGGCAAGGAGTTGTTTTCTGTAAGCCCAGAGCAGTTTTCCCAGCTGTAATTCATGCTTCTGCTGACTGCAAAATTGTTTCAGGAGTGTCACAAATAGAAGCTAAGCACAGTTCAGCTCTGGATATTATGATTCTCTAAACATGTCATTAATTCCGTAATTTTATATGTGGAATAATTAAGTAGCATCTAGTTCATTACTCCAATTAGGTTCACTGTTGAGGACAATTATTGCAAAAGGAATTCATTTAACCTTCCTTTTTATCTCTCTGTCTTTTTTTGCATAACGAAACAGATTCAAAGAGTAAGTACTTATTTTCAGCTTTGTTTCTAACAGCTCATATAGGAATACTGACAGCCTACTAATCTTAATTTTTAAGAAGAAGGGGTACTTGATATTCAGTAAGACTTACTTGCTGTAGTCCAACTTGCTCCTGAACACCTTGCATAGTGAGGTTAAAAATTACTTATATCGCTACTCAATGTATTTGATTATTGCATGCTAGCACACATTAAAGATACCGTGGTTCAGGACATTGCCTGTTTCCTGCAGAGAAGAAAGTAGATATTTCCATGTTTGTGGTATTCCTCAAGCAAGCAAGTGCATGTCAGGCTACAGTGCATAGAGACACTTCCTTAGGAAAGACCAGGTATCATCCACCCTCAAAAGCAAAGCAAAGGCAAGTCAGTCAAGTCACCTCAGAGGTGAGAAAGAAGTTGTAAGTGATAACTTAAACTTTGCCAGAGACTTTTTTTGTGTTTAAAATTACAGTTTCTTGGCACTTGAATGAAGCTCTTGACCAAAGAGCTTACTGTCTCCACTGTTAGTCTTGGGCAGCCAGAACAGATGAACCTCCGAATGAGTAGTGTCAAGGCTAGAACATACATTATTTCCTGGGAAATACCTGCTGTGTCAGTGATAGACTGCTGGTAAGGAGGTCTCTGTCCAGGAGGAGCTCTGGGATTCCACCGAGAGCGAACAAATAACAGGAAGTTGAAAAAGCCAGGAAAACTATCATGTTATTACTTTTCTTTGAAGAAGACAAAACACAGGGATGTTTTGAAAACTGCAGGAAAAAGCATAGAAAACTTTACCTCTTGGCTTATGTTACAGTATAGAGTGTTTCTAATGAGTATTTCTTCTTCGCTACGTGGCTTACCAAAGGCGACAGGCTGAATGTGCAAAGACTGCGAGAATCCAGATGGCTTTACCAGCAGGCAAACCAGCAAGCACAGCTGCCAATAATCTCTATGAAGAGCTTGGTGACAGCACCATGTAAGTATTCCTTGTGATAGATCAATAAAATTACTATTGACCGAAGCCATGATTCACTTTCCAGGGATATGGCTTCATGTAGTCTGTGTCAAAAAGTCTTTTCTTCATGAAGCGATCTTTCACCAGTTGCTTGGGGATCTCAAACATCAGAAAATAAGTAGAAGGACTCTGTAAGGAGACAAAAATCAATTTAACCTGCTAATGGGGATTTCTTGTAGTGCATGGGGGAATCTTTAACAGGTTTTAAGTTGGCAAAAAGAAGGGTATAGCCAGATGTTTTTCTCTAGAGTAAGAGCTTACAGCAGGCCATTGCTACCAGGGTGAGCCGGGACTGGGGTCCTTTAGTGCCATTGCAAATCCAGGCCAACGTACTGCATGTTTCAAAGCTGTTGACTAAACACATCAAATGAAATTGCTGGCCCAAAGTACCCATTTGCTATAGTAAGAAGTATTCTGTTAGGTAAAGTGGGGGTTTTTTTGTTCCAAATTTGAAACTATTTGAATGTTGAAATTAAAGATGAAGGAGCTGTCAAATTAGAGAAACCACTTGCAGTTCAATGAATATATCTTTTACCTATTTTATGTTCGTAAAATAATATTACAAAGAAGCGTGCTGTTTCATGCTTCTGTAAATCTGAAGTTTATGGACTCCAACAATAATTTAACTCATAGTATGAAAATATTACAGTCAAGAATAGACAATTAATATTTGTATCATACGGGGAGTTTTGTTGATAAGCTTGCCACGCTTATTCTTCTATGTTTCTATTTTAAAACCAAGTAACGCTGAAGAGCATAGCATTAATAACATGTTTGGAGGCAGGTAGAGAGATAGCTGCTGGTGTTGTTGAGGATTGCCCAACTTCTGCTTTGTTATCAATCATGATTTGGTTTGCTCAGAAAGGTGAAATTTTCCAGATGCTGTGATAGAGTTCATAAAATGTTAAGGAGGCACGACAGTGTATCATTGCTGCTTTAACTCTTGGCCATCTGAGTGCAGTCTCTGCATTTGAAGTAATTCCAGAGCTTGAGCTTTTCTGTGTAAGTAAAGGGGCTATACTTGAAGCAAGAATAGCTTCTCCTAACTGCTGAATTTCCTCCCATGTATTTTTCCTTTGTGAAGTGTTACTACTTGGGCAGTAAGGGAGGAAATATGTATGTTTGACAGAAGCTGACAGTCGCATTTTTAAATGTGAACACTTCTGTTTGTGACCCACATGAGATCACCCCTGTACACTTACACATACAGTGAGGTGGCCTGCTAAATAAAATTCCTATTTCTTTTGCATTTAACTAAATTTCTACTGAAAGTAATGTTTCACTTCTACTAATTTTACTGGCAGTGATATAAAGCTGATTATCTGTGGGAAATGGATACCCCAGTGCAAGAATCTCTATTGTGAACTGATGAATACCTTATGCTAAACACAGAACAAGGCTCATTGTGCTGGGTTTCTACCTGCGAAGATTTTTTCACATTTTAGTACTGCAACATACAGATGAAAATTTACAGATTTTCAGTATTGAATTTGCGGCCTCGATATATGTTTATTTTGACTAAATATAGTTTTCACTGCACCAGAAAGGATGTCATATATGGAATATTTTCTCTCAGATGTCTTTGCATACAGCTAAGATATACACATATACATGATGCTAAGGAACTGATTAACATAAACTAGTAAAAATCTTACAATATAAATGTAAATCCTTAGGATTTTCAAGAAAACAACATACTTCAATAAAAAATGATTACAAATTATCTTTATTTTTCTGTCTAATACTTCATTTCAAGGCACTGGTATACCTTTGGAAATTATTATTTGGGAAATATCTTTTATTAGTGTTTTTCATGAATTTTAGTACAATATTTCCTGTCTTTAGTTGTCCTAAGACAGTCATCTTTCATTTACAGTGCTGCCTTATGTCTTATTTTCATAATTTGGTGTTTATAGCAAATAAAATGGAACTAAGCTCTTTAGTTTTAAATCTGCCTTGTCTCGTAATTTTCATTTTTCTCTGTCTTTGGATACATAGGCATCAGTAAGTAAGCTCATTTCATTGTCTTAATATTTGTAGCTAATAGAAATGCTAGTTAATTTTCCTTTCAGTAAATCCCATTAAACGTTGCAGTCTGAAACTCATATTTTATTTGTCCATTGATGAAGTACAGGAAAGACATTTACTGTCAACTTTCAATACTTCTACGCTTCTTTATCCTTTTCTTGGAAGCAGAGATGAAGTATGATTGCTGAACTTGAATGGTATTATTTCTAAAGTCAAATAGTCCTACTACCTTAAAAAAACCCATACAAAACCAACACTGGTTTGCTTTCAGTTCATGGACTTAAGATCTCGCAATTGGATGCAAAAATCTTCTCTGCTATTTACAATTCCTTACAAGGCAGATATACTTCCTTCAGTTTGCAGAAACATACTTCAAACCAGTGAGCTCATGTTTATTACTGATTAGAATATCTATACATAAACAGAAAAAGATTGTGGGATTACCTCGTCCTTGAAAGATGTCATGTGAAGCGAAGAAGGAACTGAGAAGCTTTTGAAATAATCTCTTCCAGTAGCATAAAGGTTATGTCATCCTGCATGAGCCTTCTGCTGGAGGATTTCCTTCAAGTTCAGAATCATGTATTTCTCTCACCTCTAAATAGACTGAGGGTACTTGACCAACCTCAAAGTATGCTGCTTTAGAAGAAGGAATTTGTTTATTATTAGTGTGAAGTCAATTATTTTTCAGACAGTTATATTCTGCCCAAAGGCAAGCCTTTGGCATATCGTTTTTTGGAGAACTGCAGTGCTTGGGGAGAGTTTATTCACTTGTGTAACCCTTTGTGGCTTTGCTGGGTGTTATTCGCAAATGGGAGAGTAATCCCTGTACTCTGTGCAGCGGTTCTTCTCGTCGGTCCTCTCAGGTCCCTGTGACCATTAGGAAGCTGTAGTTTCTCTGTGTGGGTGATCTCCCAGTCAAAACAAGAAACAAAAATTAAGAAGCTAAAGTGTTTCATTACTACATACAGGCCTTCAGGTGACTTTTACATATTAAATAACTTAAAGGAGATTTAACATGTCTTAATTAACTCCTATCCAGTATCTAGTTATTGAAATTTCTCTTCCAGTTTTGCTAGGGAATATTTAACCACCAGAGGTTACATTTCCATTAATTTAGATTTGGTAATATATTCTGAGATATGAAAGAACAACCCCAAAAAAGATGGAACAGTCTGACCAAGAGTTCTAAAACTTCATCTTCAAGGATTCACATAATCATGTAAAGCGTAATTTTTCCCCTACTCCTTTTGTTAATAAAGTCTAACCCTTTTTTATCTAAATTCTAAAGAATATGATTCAAATTTTGGTAGAGAGAAGACTTCAAATTTTTAAGTCAGAAGGTTCTGTGGAAATATTGTACAGCTCTAGGTTGCTAAAAATAGTTTTGTATGGTATTTTTGATTTTTTGTGTGTATGTTGAAGTAATTGCTACTCATGCTATACTTTAGTTGCTTAACTGCAGAAAATAGGAAGAATTTAAGTATGGCATTCAAAATGTGGAGTACCAGCATTAGGCAGAGATAGTGAAGCTATAAGGGAATTGTACAAAAGTGGAATTCAATCTTTATACCCCATTTCTACCATAATGTCCCCATATACCATCATATTCTCACCATAGCTTGTCTTACAGATAAATTTAATATTTCAGACAGCTTTTTAGAGTGAGTGTCCTTTTAAAGACTTTTTTTTTTTTAATTCCTGTGCTAGACAGCACATCTGTTTAATTAGAATAAATTTGTGTATGGCAGCAGTAGAAAAACATTTTGATTCGGTCTTATTGCTGACGAGGGTAATCTTCTCTTTGAAAGGATAACGGGTTTGGTTTTGGCTCTGTCTGATGTTGGCCAATGTCTTAAATTTGTCACAGGCTGGGGGAAAATAAGTTTAGTTTCAGCCTCAGGTAAGCATTATTTAAAGCAGGGCTCTAAGGCACACTTTTCTAATGGGCAGTTTGGGGATATTGATTTTAAAATGCTGCTTATCTTAAAATCTGCTCAGAAGTTTGTGGTATGAAAAATATTTGAGGAAGGTGGGTTAATGAGGCACTCAGAGGTGCTGGTTGACTTCTAGAAAATAGCGAGACATCCTACTTTTGGGGTAGAAATTCAATGTAATCCAACTGCAGGGTTTTTTTACCTGGATTAACAAAGTGCAGAGATGAAATTCATATGCATATTGATACTTGTGCATCAATATGGGTATCATAAGTGCAAGAAACAATGCCCAGCTTGGTAATTCTTTAAGAATCAGTGTCAGGAGAATGGTCTGAATCTGACATGCACCTCAGCTGACTAGCTTCAGCTCCCATTGGCCACCTCACAGAGACCCTACAGGTCTACACTTCAGATGTGCTTGGGTGCACCTCTGACTCCTCCTGGGGCCACGGTTAAATCCTTGTAAATATTCTATGTTGGCTGTGTGCAGTATGGCACAGTGCCACTGCCATTTGAACAATGGAGACACAATTATGCGGACATACAGTATAGTCACCATGATTCCATATTATCTCAGAGAGCAGCTGTGTTGCATAACTGTGTAGCATTGATGTTTTTTGTCCTTGGGGAGATAGGGTACAGTATTGACTGATACTTGTGAAATCTAAGGGTTTTTTTTAAGAAGAGGTTAACTTATTTTTGAACTTACTGAGTCGCTGAAAACATGTTTTAGTTTTTCTTTGTCCTCAAGTCCTTCTCCCCTAAAGAACATTGTAAAAGTAAATGTCTTGCCCAGTAGTCTAGTAAATGTGGTCTTGCTGTTGAATAGTAGTAGTTTGCTAGAAGTAATTTAATGGCTCCAATTCATATCATAAGTTCTTTTTTTCTCTCTCATAAGTATCTATGTCCATGCATGTTTCCTCACACGTGATTATCTTCTTTTCTTTCAAGTCTTTTTCTTCTCTACCATTTCCAACAAAGCAGGGGAAAAAAGTCAGTCTTAGAAGAAGGAGACCGTCAGAGAGTTATAAGCAGCTTTGCTTCCCGTGCTATTGAGGCTCACAAGCAATCTAATATCAATGGATCACTGAACAATAATCTCCCCAAATCTTCAAGTAACATTACTTTTTTATCTGATGAGAACCCATTAACAACTCAAAACCCATTATATGTGGAAGGTGTCGCTCAAAGTCCCACTGCTGCTGGGTTTCTACGGAAAAGAAACGATACTCTAGATACTCTTTCTCCTTCAAGATTAGTCTTGAGAGATGCCTCTTTGAGAGGCAGTCACCGTGCATGGACGGTACCAACTCACGTTACTAAGAGACACACTCCTGGTTCGCTGAGTAGGCCAGTTATTATGGACCCCATTCAGTGGCAACAGGAGAGACTCAAAGCAGAGAATGAAGGAAGTGAAAATCAACATAGCAGTGTTGATATTAGCAGTCCACTATTTCAAAAAATAAGTGGCCCCAAGTTAACTGTAAAAGAGAAGGCAAGACAGTTTGAGCAGCAGGCTTTGCAGGAAATGAAGCAAGTGAAATCTCCTGATGTGAAATCCATCCGATCGCCAACACACAGCACCTGTTTCCAAGAAGGAGAGAATGTGGTAGAGCAGTCTTCTAAAAGTGTGGTTGCTTCTCCTTGCCTTCGCTCTTCTCCTCTGTCCTCTCCGACACCTTGTGCTGAAGTAGTTGAACCAGAGGCCTCCACGGTCCCCTCTGTAATCATCACTCACCACGACTATCCTGAAGAACTTTCTCCTCCACCAACTCGCAAACCAACTCCTCCGTCTTTCAGGATAAAGAAACCAGTTTGCCAAAGTTTTCTAGCTCCTCAGACCAAAGAAGTTATAGAAAGCATTCCAGATCCGCCTAAAATTCCCCCACCCCCACCTCCACTGCTGCCGCCTCCACCTCCACCACAACCTCCATCCCCTCCTCTGTTGCCACCACATCCTCCACCTCTGCCTACAGTTTCTCTTTCTTCTTCTTCATCTCCTCTTAGCACCCAGCACCTCTCCCCTGCCAAGTATTCAAAATCCCCTGCCAAACAGCCAGCTGTACCACCACCGGCCACAGTGCCAGAGCTGCCTCCTCGTAGGGAGCTGAAAGGTATTCTTAAAAACATTCAGAATTTAGCGGCGATCGAAAAGTCTGTGGCCAACATGTACAGCCAAATAGACAAAAACCACGTTCTGCCCAAGCACGTTTCTAAGCTCAAATCGGTTGCAACACCAGAGCTGCCAACTCCAGAAGCTGTGGCTGAGCACAACCAGCAGAATGGCAACTTGAGCTGTGTTGTAGAGGAGCTTGAGAAACGCTTTCCGTCTCAGTCGACAGCACTGTAATATTTATGCTTGGATGTTTTCTGCATGTAACATTTTGAGTGAGATGACTCTAATGCAGCACATGGTATCTGCCTCAGACTCTATAGAAATTCAGACTTTTTCCCTTTCTCTGCTGTGTATCACTACTTATTCAGTCCTAATCCCAAAATTGAGAGACATTGTCTTTCCTGTTCACTTGGAAATTTGTAATGTATAATAATTCTACAAGTTGTTTTCACAGAGCTATATGTTACTGTTCTATGATGTTGGTTCTTATGTCTATTTACCAAAAATTCTTGGGGAAAACTGTCCATTTTTACCCCAGGATCAGTCATAGACGGCAGAGAGCTTGATACTGCTTTATGTTAAGCAGCCTTCACTGTAGGTAGTCTCCGTAAGCAGAGTGATTTTTCTGCAGCTGTAATTGGAATGTCTTGCTTTGCCCATAAAATGTACCACCTGGGAGGAATCTTACTGTGAAATATTGGACATCAAAGAAAGCAAGTACTGGTAGTAAGCAGGCTCAGCATTAGTGAGCTGGAGTTATTGCGGTAATGCATTGTCTTATTCCATGGGAGATGATGCAGCGCTCTGCTATGCTAGCATGCTTTCTTTCAGCTCACATTTGATCAGAAGAAGGGTTTTATCTTGATTTCTCAGTAAACCTGGCTGTCTTCCCCTTTGTTACCTATAGTCTGCCTTCCATTGCATTTCTTATGTCATTAACTGCATGTTAAATGTTTTTATTTTGTGTATTTCTTTAATGTACAAAGCATTTGGTTGTTTTTTATTTTGCATGCACATGTTGTTGGTGTCTCTCTTCAGCCTTCATGCTAGTCTCCCATGAACTTTACAGCGGAATCATCTTGCTTATCTTAAATTGTAATAAAGTCACTCTGGTTAATGTCACCAAATGAAGATTTTTCAAGTACTTGTAAAAATCCACATAATAACTGGATTTACTTAGTAGCTTATTTGCTCACAGTCATCTAAATCAGACCTTTACAGTAAATATGTCAATTATAGTAAAACAGCTTGTCCTTTGAAAACAAAATGGTAAGTAAAAGCAGTTTTGGCATTTAAAGAATGTTAGTTGGGTTCAACTTGCAAGTTTCCTTGTAGTCTTTTGCCAAAATTCACAACATTTGTATTTAAAATGACAATTTTAAAAAATATATTGTGAAAGGCAAATACTATATAATCAAGAAAAACTAAAACCCCAGTTCAGTATCAAACGTTGTAGTTCTGAGCAAAAAGTTAATTAATTTTTTATCAGACTATCTCCAGATACTCAGCATTTCCATGGTGCTTGGCTTTTTCTCTTTTCTCCTCTTTTTTTAAATCTGCAGTTAGGACATGTATGGATGCTTCAGTTGGAAACTGCTGAAGGTAGTTTCTCTTCCTCTGTCCAAGAGCCAAACTCCGTGAACACCATCACACAAGTTTCACTGATACATTAGAATTTTTCTTTTCTTAAAACTCTTGTTGAACTAGACTGGACTAGACTAGTTCCAAGACACACATAGTAGCTAAATGTGTGAGGGGAGTGATTATCGATCATAGCACTTTTGCCATAATAGAATCTGTAGAATTTACAAGATGCATGCATGTAGAATACCTGCCAATGATGCTAAATTCTCCAAGAGAGGCACTACTGCTGCACGAGCAGCAAATTTTCAAAGTTCAGCAGCTATTATGTAGAGGAACATTTAAGATTTAGGAGACAGAATCAGAAGATGACTTACATGTGTACTTGCTTCTGTGTGTCTGCCATGGTCCAGGCATGGAGACAGTGGGACAGTGGAAAGTGTGCAGAGATGAGCATGAGAAATTGTTGTTGTAAGCATATTCAGGTAGGATCAACGCCTAAGACAGAGATATGAATTTAAGTACCCAAATCCCACTCTGGAGCTTGTAGACCCGTAACAGATACTTTTGTGAAGTTCATTACATCACTACTGAAATATTAGACAAATATGATCTAGTGTTGCAGTGTGTAGTGTCATGCAGCAAAGCTGCAGGTGTTTAGTAATTCACAGCATAAACTCCAAAGGTTTCATTTGGCTACAATTGTTCGTGACATTCCTTAGGCAGAAAGAATGGACATCACACAGGAGCTCCTTTTCAGGTAATTCATATCATCAGTGTCAGAAGAGTCTGTGGGGGTCGTGGTAATCAGCTCTTCACTAATGAGGAACACCTTCTTTCTCATTCTGGAAACTTTTATTAAGTTGGAAAGTTTACAAAATGTAGTTTCATTTTGTCTGGAATTAACGCAACCTTTGTTGTCCTGCTGGATTATTGAATAGTCTGTGTTAAAAAAATCATTCTATTAGATCGGGAAAGAAACTGTACTAGTAGCATGTATTTTTAACTTAACCCAGAGAAGTTCTGTCCCATTGAGATGTCAGGATGCTACTGCAGTTCTGCAGCACTACAAAGTGTTGCAACCAGTGTATTAGTCGGTAAGAAGCTGAGCATACAGAAGCTCGTTGACCCCTCTTCAGGTTGTCTGACTTGGTTAATTAGGGTCCGATGTCACCCTGGATGTGTCTGTCATGCTTTTGTCATCAGCTTGACTGGGTGGAGTTCTGAGCAGGAGCAGAGACTGCATCAGTGGAGAGTGCTTCTTTGCAAAGCTGAAATTGAGCAGTAGCAGATCATTACTCATCTCGCTTCCAGATTCTTTCTCCTCAGTTCCAGCTATGAACTGCAGGAAACCTCCATTTTAAGAGTCAGGGCAAATTGATAAGCAGTTGCCTTCTCTCGGTAGTATCTGTAGTATTTGGAGTTTATGGTGCTTTAACTTTTAATGTGAAAAGAGATGTAAAGTATGAAATAACAAATGCCTGTTGGGATGCCAGTAATTGGGAAAATTTTTGCTTTAGGCAAATCACAGTTCCTTTAACCTATGTTAGTAATACAGACCTGTGAAAGGTCACCACATTCTGTACATGTAAATTCATTCTTGTTTTATCTTTCACATTAAGTACTAGCAGTATATACTAGCTGTCATATTATCCCACAACATCATAGGAACTATGGTCTTGCTTCCCATTTTGCATTGAAGTTTTCTCTCTGACTGACTGCAGTGAAGTCTGGCTGATAATGTTTATCCAGAAGCAATTCCTCCCTTGGTGGAGACCTTTAATTGCTTACTGGAAACAAATGATGTTGTTTTGACCTTTGCCTTTTTGTCAGACTAGATCCTTGTGCTGTATTGAGTGAATGGGGTTTTTTTTTGTATTTTGGGAGTTTTTTTTCTTCTAATCATGTCCACCCAAAACTGTATGACAAGTATAAGCATCTCTCAAAACACAGCGTGGTGCTATTTTTAGGAAAGTTGAATTCCAAACTGAATGAGAATTACTTTTGTTACGCTTTTAATCTGCAATGTAGTGACTACTCGAGAGCAATTAATAGGCTTACTTATCATCTGTGCAGCACAAGGCCTTTATCTGAAGATTGTTGTAGGCAATACAGAAACTAAATACAGCATTCTTCAAGTGGGCTTTGAAAAGTCACAGATCATCTTTTGACGATATATCTTCATTTCAGTTGTTCATTAGTTTTGTATTATATAGGCAACAGCATTAATTTAATGCTGATAATCAAATCCATGTGTTGAATATTAACAGAAAACTTTATAGGTGGTGATATTAAAGAATTAAAAATACTTCTACACTGTTCTTTGTTATTTACTCAAGCGTAATCAGAGAATTTCCCTAGACTGCTGTCTGTGTACTAGGTTAAGCTCAACATAATTTTGAGCATTAACCCTTTCCTTTTTAAAAAAAGAAATTGAAAAAAAATCTAGGCTTATCCTTAATAATAATGCTAAGACCTAAATTCCTGTTCCTTCAGGAAGTTTTGTCTAAACCGTTTTAATTTTCTGGCACAAAATGTGAAAATAGAGAACTTGATAGACATAAGTGCATTTGTCATGCATATGAATGGCTCTAAGAAAATGAATTAAAAAAACAAAAAAAAAAATTACAGTAAGATCAAAAGCACAAAGCCTGTGGCAAAATAATCATAGATAACAAAAATAATTTAACTCCCCCCCTGCAGAGGAAATGTTAGGAAAAATGTAATTTTAATAATAATGTTGTTACAAGAAATTAGTAATAGAAGCTCCAGGCCAATTTCTAGCAAGCCCAGAGTGAATGCAGAAAGTCCAGAAGTAGAAGAGAAACTGTTTCACTGCTTAAGCAGGTGCATGAAATAAGAGTTTCTATGTAGATGGTCTCTGAGACGAGAGAAAGTGACTGGGCCAGACCTCTCTTACGGGAATGCAAAGAAAGCCAAACACAGCATTTGCCTTTGCTGTGTTCCACTGGGTGCACTGGCTCTCTGGCTTTTGGGGATTGGGGATTTCTTCTCATTCATTTGCAGTCTAAAGCAAGACAAGATCCCAAAGATTCACTAGCCTTTCTCATGCAGCAATTCGTATGTCCAGAGCAAATCTAAAGAAAAACATATTTTGTATTGTAGATATGTATTTCTTTTCTTGCTAGTAGTATTTCTAATTACATTATCTTTTCACCTCTCTCCAGAAAGAATGGCAATATGCATCTTTATGTAGTCTCACAGAAGTATACTAATATTTTTTTTTTCTTTTTCTGACTTCTAGGCGAGGATATGCACAACAAGAGGTAAGGCTGTTCCCTAACTATGTTTACAACACGAATTACATCAACATACTTTTCCCATACAGTGTATGTTGTGATACTCATTGCTACTGGGTGTCATAGAGGCCAGAAATATAAAGGGGTTGAAAAGGTTCCCGAGGCATACATCGACTGGGGGCTAGTAACAATCATGGCACAAACGTAACCTCCAGGCTAGGAGACTGCTGCTTGACAAACTGCCAAAAACAGTTTCCCAGGGAATTATCCCCAAACTTGCTGTGTTTTCTTATGGCACATCTAATCATCTGCTGCTGCCCACTGTCACAGGCCTCGTACTGGACTACATAGACCTTCTCTGCAGCTCGAGTGTAGATTGTTGGGTTTGCAGCATCTTTTTCTCCAGCAGTGAATAACATGGAGAATTTCCTTCAGAAATCTGAACGAACTCCTTTAATAACTGGAAAGATCTCCAAAATGCATTTCT